GCCAGCAGCGCTGCGCGGGCCCGGCTGAGGGAGGGAGGGGGGGGGCCGGGCCGGGCAGCGCCCGTCTCCCTGAGGTAAACCGCCTTGGCGTCGGGTGGGTTTGGGGGTGGGCTTGTTTTTGAGGGGGGATGTTGTTATTTTTTCAGAATCAGAAGGGGTTTTTTTATTATTTTTTTTTTTTTTGGCCACAAATCCGCCTCTGGAGGTTAATTGTACCTGCTGCTCCTCCACGCTAAGATTTCGGCGCCTTGCAGTGAAAGCCAGAAACCCTCTGACAGCTCCGGTCTGGAGACAGAAGCGCCCGAATGCTTTTCGTGTTTTTCTGGTGATGGGTGCTGACTTTGGACGCCAGAGAAGTGTGTGACTAAGCGCCGCCGGGGTTAGCTACGGCGTGAGGCAACTGTTTTGAAGGCAGTGAAAATTCTTAGTAGAACACTGAAATTTTGCTGTGGGATGTGTGTCGCAGATACAACCACTAGCTTTAAGCTTAGGTCTTGATACTGTGTTAAGCCACAAGGGAGGATCACCTTTTCTATTGATTTCACAAGATATTTTAACGGAATACAATACCACATTCACTAAAGCATTGAAGAAAGCAGGAAAATGAGTCATTTTTTTTCTCTGACACAAAAGTTTGTCTGTGCTCGCTCACTACTTGGAAAACAAATGCTTGGGCTCCCAGTTAAAAAAAAAAAAAAATGGAGGAGGGGGATTTTTTCCAGAGTCTTTGTGTAAACATTATGTTAGAAGTGTATCTTTTGTGTTACACACTTACGGCCTTGGCTCCTTTGCAACATCCTTATTTAAATCCCTTTTTGCTGGGCCAGCACATCTACTGATTCACATTTTTAGCTATGTACCTTTCTTCCTCCTAATTTGCATCTTGAATACCACATTTTCTCTATACACTCCAGCTCTTTTCTAAATACATCAGCAGGTTGAGATGTGCCCTTTCCATCTCCCTCCTCCACATGCTCTTCCTCAAAGAACAGATGTTAGGCTTTAACAATGCTCAGTCCTAAGCTTTTAACCAGTCTGCCTTTTCTTGGCTACTTGCTTCACACTTTATTTAGGGCTGTGCATGTGTTTTGCAACTCTTTTGCTGCAATTTCCATGCTGAGTCTAAAGATTTTATACCATTTCATGTAGGGTCTTGCTGACTGGCTTCCTCATTTTTTACAAACCCATTTTTACAGTTTAGTTTTGTATTCCTCTCATTTTCATGACTTTTCCCCATAGGTTAGTCTATAGGTAATTAAGTTATCCTTGCAGTTACTTACATCTTCTCCATGTTACTTCAGTAATTTCTTTTAAATGAGTGTAGTCTCACCACATCTTTAGGAGTTCTGACTACTCCTGATCATTTATTATCTGCAAAAATATCTGAGCTGTGGAAAACCTAAGTACTGCAGTCTGGGGTGAGACAGATTTCCCACTTGTCTTTGGTGCATCCAGTATTTAGTGACTGGAGAACATCACAGAAAGAGGGCAGGTACAATACTGTCTCAGACTGTCCTCCCAGCCTCTGGGAGTTGATGATTCAGTGCAGGACTGAGGCAGATGCAGAACCTTTGGGTTTTTTAGTCCTCAAAAATTTTCCATTGAATGCATCAATCAGTTTTTTTGAAGCTTCTATCAACAACAACATCCATGGTCAAGAGGTCTGTAACTTAATTACAGAACTACCTTACTTTGTTAACTTTGAACCTGCTGCTTGCTAGTTTTGTCTGATCCCCTCCAGGTCTTATATTAGAAGAGAAGTGCTCAGTCACTCCCTGTTCATCTCTCACGGGGCACTCCAGATTTCGTAGATCTCTCTTCTCTGCTTTTCACTGCTGTTGTCCTTTTTCTAGGGTGCAGATTCCTTATCTATTCACCCCTTGTGTGGATGCTATTCCACCTCTTTGATCAGCCCTGACATTTTCCTCTGTGTTCTTGTTGAATATAGAGAGCTCAGAGGTACGAAATAATTATTTCACGTAAGCTTTTTGAAATGGGGTAAAGTGTTCATTGTTCTCCATGACCCCTTCGTGGCTGGTGGAAAGCTGCCGGAAGGGCAGGGAAGTGTTTGCATTCACACACCTTGTTCTGCTTGTCTTCAGACTTCCTGCCTAGAAGCTTCCTGCTGTTAGTGGGATAATTTTTGCCCTTAAGACAATACAGCTCTTAACTGTATACGGGAATCTGGGAGTGCTTCCAAATTCTCAGGTCTGGCTGTGCCCTCTGGCTACATCCCATCCCATATTGCGATGAGATCCAGCATGCATCAGCATGACTGCCGCCTTTGCTCTCATGTTTCTGTGGGAGGTAAACCCTGAGCATATAGCCCAGACGGGAGCTGTATGGGCTCCTGTAGTGTACACCACAGGTAAGTGTTCACTGACCTAAGTGGTAAACAGAAGGATTATGTTTCTGGGCACCACCTAGGAGGAGACCCTCGACCTTGAGAGCAAAGGGATTTGCAAGGCTTCCATTTTCTGCCCACAATAACAGGATCTCTTGACAAAAGATACTACAGCAGAACTGAGGAGCAGGGAAGCCTGTAGGAAACCTGGGCTTGTAGATATGTCTAATAAATAAATCAATAGCATTGAATAAAAGTTAATTTAGAAAAAGAATAAACAGAGTCTTGGGATTCCATCTGTCAAAAAACTAGACCGCTTACCTGAAAAGAGCCATGTTAATGTGATGACCAAAGATTCAGAAAGTTGAAAGTTAGTGTTCTGTTAACTTCAGTTGCAATACTCTATGGCAAGTTAAAAAATCACATTTGGGTGAGTCATATTGCATATACAATTTTAGATCTGCTTTGTCTGTGTTTCTGGTGTCTTTTCAGATGTAATAGTCTCAAAAAGTTTGAAGCTTTAAACATTTGGTATGTATCAATAACACTTAAATCCATCTTAATAAAATAAATTATCAGGAGTCAGTTCTTGTAGAGGTGGGTCTTAAATGTAACCCTAAACTCAAGGGGTCCCAGGATCCTGGGGCAGTTCACCTCTGGGTCTGGAGCAGGTATAATTTCTTGTTCAATAATTTTTCAGCAGCTATGACATAGGTCAGCATGTTGTCTTTAAGTGTCTGGCTAGTAGAGAAAGAAGCACCTAAAAGAAATGGCTTTAACATGTATTTGCTGTGAAAAATGTTTATTTGCTGTAACTGACTCCAAAAAAGTGTTTTATTATATAAAGTCTAATACTTATTTACATTCACACAAAGACTCCGTAGTTCACAAATGGGATTCATGGTTTTGTTTTAGAGACAATGGATTTTGTTCTCTGCTGCATTTCTGGACTGACAATCCTCTCTTTCTATAGCACAGGTAGAGCACAAACATAGTCAATGTAAACTTCCTCACACTTCCTTGTCCATGCGTTTTGGCCTTGGCTTGAAAGGTCACTTCTGCAAGCACGAGCAGAGCACAGCCTCACCTAGCCACGCTCCTGAGGTTGCCAACGAGGGAAGCACATTAATTCATTAAGGAAGAGCTCTGGGTTTTTGTGTTTATTCCCTTCACTGACAGCCAGGCTTTAGCATTTTCGATGACAAATGAAGTGCTATTCTTAGCATTCTTTGGCTTTTCTTCACTTCGTAATCAAATTCCTTTTCTTCTTCGTTAACAGGACTCAGAGCTATTTTATTTCATATTCCCTAGTGCTGGGCAGTCAGCCAAATGCTGGGTTCCCTCTCTATCAGGCACACACATACCATCCCCATCGGGAGGTTTTTGCAGTGGTTGCTCTTTCTTATGCTGCTTTTTCCGCTCCACGGCGGTGCGCAAGGCCTGAAGAATCAAATCTTTATTGTTCTGGACGTTGTAGTAACTTAGGTTCACCAGTTTGTCAAAATCTTCCTCTGAATAACTCAGATTGTTTATGTAATATGGACCACAGGTATTGGCAACATCAACATCACCCTCTGCCAGCTCTGAAGGACTACGTTTCACACCTAAGGCACAAATAACGACTTGGTTAATTAGCAAAAAGTAATTAGGGTCTGGGTGTTTCTCAGGCATGCACACATAGTGGATCAGAACCCAAAATTTTCCCTCCACAGGCGTTTTATTGCTGGGATATGTGGTTGGCAACAGGGGCTGGAGAAGCTGGTGGTGGTGAGGCAAGTCGGGGTTGTCCTGGGTACTCTTGGAAATGCCAAACCAAATACAGTAGTTCCTCTTTTGAGCACAGGAGGGTGAGAATCCCTCCTTTACCTCTGGAGTGAGCTATCAACATGGTCCCCAGGTCCCTCTCAGCACTGACACTTTCCCAGCCCCAGCCTCTGCCTTGCAGCTGTCTCCCAGCCATCGGAGCACCCTACACTTCTAGCCAAGGTGAAAGTAAATGACAACTGCTCTTCCTCTCTTTCCTCCCCTTCTCCCAAAGCAGACAACAGCAGCAAGGACCTCATGACAGCATGGTTTCTTTCCAGGTGATGGGCCTGAAGCCACTGCCACTTTCTGTGCCTTCCAGCTTCGATTCTACATCGTGTTATTTCCCTCACTACTATGCTTTCATGCCTCCAGAAATAGGCTGCTGAAAATCCATGTATTTCAGTGACCCAAGCTTTCCAAAAGCACACCTGCGTTTTCAGTGACCTGACAGATATTCTTTCACCCAGCACAACCTAGCACAATCTGCTACATCAAGTCTTGATTCCTACTGGGAAGAATTATCAAAAAATACAGAAGACAGACCTAAACAATCAGATGCTATTATCTAAACTGAGAGACTTCACAGAGTCATTGTCTGGACATATCCCGGAAGCAGACAGTGCAAATATTTACAGTAATTTCCTTGAGTTACCTACTACTATAAAAAACTACAGGCTTTATGTAACCTCAACAGTGAGAGTGACCCTGATATTCCCTGAATCACTAAGATTTGGCAGGGACACTGAAAGAGCTTTTCATGCCCATTTCATCACTGCAGGATAATCAACATATATATCACAGACCCAGGCAAAACAATTAGGCAGGTAGTCCCACAAGTGTCGTCTCTGGAAATATTAGGTCTGTCATATCTTATGATCTCAAGACAAATTCAATAAACTTATTTATTTTAATTCATTTGACAGTAGAAACCAGATTCAAAGCTAATACAGAACTTTATTTGCAGGCTATGACAGGGCAAATATTCACAAGGACCTCCACAGTAGGTTGTTGGTACAGGGCAAAAAAATACCCAAAGCTTACCCTGGGAATCACAAATCTCAACAGATTCATAGATGCGGAAGATGTAAAACACATCTCCTGACTTGTTTTGCTAGGACCTTCATAAGCCACCTGTGATTCAAAATAATAGCTAATCTCAGCTTGTACCCGGCCATCTGCTTTAGACAGTGACACCATGAGTGGTTTTGATTTAGCTGTTGTTTTAGACACACCGCCACTTACTGAGTTGGTGGAAATACATCTCTACACTAAACTCAGTAGATGCAACATGCACCCTCTGAGCTGAGGGTGTGTTTTACATGATATACTCAGTGCACAGTAGGCAAACCTGCCTTTCCTGAACTCAGCAAAAGCAAGCACTCTCTGCCTGCACTCAGGGAGTGCAAGAAGCCCACTTGGCCATATTAGTTTTTGCTTGACTCTGCACTGATGGGACACAGCACATGGGCAGGCTGAACTTCTATCTACCTGTTAGTACATAGAACAAACAGGTTCTTGAAAGGGAGGAGGTCAATTAATTTGGTAATATTCTGCAGATTCCTGGACTCCAGTATGTGCCTTTGACTGCTAAAGGACAGCTGAGGATGCCACCCCTGGGCCAGAGACCTGAAGATGTGGAGATCCACTGCTGTGTGCTAACCTGTACACCTGACATGAGGGCTCACACATGTTTTTTTCCTTCCCCATCATTCCCACGGACCCCTTGGTTTTCTAACAGCTGGCATGAAGGAAAGAGAGCAATAACAACCCAGAAATGATAGATAATACTGTCAGGGATAGATAACACAGGTTAACACAGGCAGGAAATATAATGCTTGATCTCTCCTCATCACAGATTAGAAAGCTTCAGAGGAAGAGAATTTTTCTGTCAGCTTCCAGTGAGACTGTCACATTGGCAAGAGGGTGCTACCATAGTGAACAATCACCCTCCACAGTCACAGATACCTGCAACACCTGTACCAAAGCAGGGGAGCAGGCATTGGGAAAAGTCAGCATGTCTCTTACTGACAGGACCACATGCATTTGGGAAATCTTCTCTAACAACATTGATCTAACGACATTGATCAAAGGGTTCAGGTTTTCCTCGAAGAGTCTCTCCAAGTCTGAAAGATATGCTCCTCCCAGCTTTGCAGAGAGAGTTATAAGGAACTGGTACCACTCCAGTGAAGCAGTCTAAGCCTCACACAGGGAATCCCCTTTCTACTTGATCATGGAATAGTCTAACCAGTGCAAAAGTAACCCGGTTTGAATATGTTAGTTTTACTCATTTATCGCTCAGGCTTTAAATTCCCTTTGCTGAACAAGCTGATGGATGAGCTGGCTATGGAAAAACTGCTCGTTCATGTGATTGAACTAATACTTCACATGCTAAACAATTTAGATCTGGGCTAGGGCATGCTACTGAAGCACTATAAATTAAGCTGATCTCTGCCTGTCACTAACAAAGGGCAGACATCCATTCACAGCCTCCCAGGACTTTCTGCAGCATCCATCCTGCTGCTATGGAGGTCAGGTCTCAGCTGTGAGGTGGCAGCACTCCCAAAAAACTGCATGGGTTGAACCCTTCCGTGTCAGCTCAGCTGACACTTCACCTGTGGGGGCTGGACAAGGACCCTTTCTCTCTCCATTTAGTCTCAGCTTGCAGCTACCAGCTGAACCGGTTGGGCAACACAGGCTTGCCTCAAGTGTATGTAATATCCAGGTATCATGCAGATCTTCATATACATCTTCTACATACCTAGTAACACCCCTTTTTAGATTCCATGATAATTTATGTTGACATGTAGCACCTGCACATCATCTGTGTACACCTGATACTAGATAACTGAATTAGGCACAACATCCCTGGGTTCTGTAAATTATTGAGGGGGAGAAGGGAGGCAAACTCCCTCACAGAGCACTGCAGAAGAGTAGTACAGAAGCCAATTCTCAGTTCCTGTTCTAGTTCCTTCTCCTTCTCTCCTGTCTCTAATTCTTTCTACAAAGGGCAACTGCAGGAACCAACCTTTCAGTTATCTGATCTGTGATAACAGCTGGAATAGAATGGTGTGTGTACCTGCGTAAATACCCTTGACTATTTGAATCCTGTTCAAAACCCCAGTTGTATACCTCAAATGTGCAATGAACTCAATCCAGAATATTTACAAAGCAAAAGTAGTGTACGATTTTTTATTACTTGCTTCAAAAAAAAAAAAAAGGAAAAAAATTAATGTCTATATACCAGCCTAGAACTTTTGGGTTTCAGTATACTGTGGGGCTTTGAAGTGATTGAAAAAATAAAAGTGTTCTCACAGCATGAGTTAGGAATTTTAGCATCTGGAGAATGAGTAACTGAGACTTTTGGCACTGACAGAGGTAATATGGCATTGTGGGATACGGTACCAGGACTTAGAATTCATCTGTTTTGAAGTGACTGGCAATGTTGCTATTGAAACTCTACTTAAATTTCAAAGTAGGACTCACTGAAGTGAACAGAAACTGTCAACATGACTCACTGTTGTATTTTCATCACTTCAGTGTGGCTCAGTATTATATTTTCATCACTTCGCTAGTTCACACTTTCGTTTTCAAGGTTATCTGCCTAACTGTAAGCCTGCCAATTATTTTAAATGGTGAAATCCTTAGATTCCCCAGAGTGTTCTCTAATATGAAAGGATGACGAGTATGAGAGGAAATAACCCTGCTAATTTCTGCCACAGGAGATAAACCAAATATACTTCATTGGTAAACTCCACAATCTACCTATGAAAAGCCCCCCCAAAAATATGAAGAGGGATATATGGCCAAAGACTGATCCCAGCTGCTGCTCTACTGTCCAGGAAAAGTTACATATTTTAAGCTTCTTGAGATGGTTCAGGTCTAAGCAAAGAGAGTCTGCATCTGTGTTTGAAGCATGATCTGAAGAACAGATATTGCACAGTAAAAAAGAGAAAGAACACGGCTGCTGCCTCTGTTAATGTGATGGGTAACTGTAAACTTACCAGGTGCTTTGTAGTCCCTGAAGGTATCATTTACTAGAGGGAAAAATATCACAATAGGTGTTTCTGGGCTCTCCTTGTCACCAACAATGTAGCATTCCTTCACATGTGGGGTTTCCTGATCATCTGGCACCTTTGTAGGGAAAGGAATTCCCTGTTTTGCAAAGTATTTAGAGGCTTCTTTCAGAGGCTGGTTGCCACAATAGGAAAACACAACAAAAGAAAACATCAGAACATACAGGAAGCACTTTGAATTTGACCAAAACCCAATTTCACTGGGAATGTTTGTGGGGTAAGGGCCAAGTTCTGACTGTGGCACGTACCCATCTTAGTTGTAGACTGTATATGGAGCCAAGACTGGGAAGGCCAGGGTTAAGTGGGATGGATCTGGGTCCACATGCCTGTCTTTGAAAACCTACATCCTACATTTGGATATTAAAAATGCTGCCCTTAGACAACTTTATATTCCTAAGGAATTTAAAGTTCCTAAATACAAACTATTCTTGCATTTATTTGCATATCTGGTCTTCTGCATCAAACCCTTCTATTGTTACAGTTGTATTGTCCTGAATGTACGTTTTCTCATGCATAAGAACATGTATGATTGCATTGGGAAGTCTTAGACAATTTTTAAATGCAATTTGCTTCATTCATTCTACAGCTGACTGCCTTCAAATCAGCTAAAACACATTTACACATAAAAATGGGCAGATTCAGTTTACTAAATTCTTACTTCCTGATAACACTTGTACTGTTCAATAAAGATATGTGACCCTGGTAAACTGTTAGCTTATTTACACTTCCCAGATACTGGGGGAAAAAAGTTTCTATTAGCAGAGGATCAGCCATTCTGGGAACTCAGTGACGAAACAGAGAAATCAGTAAAGAAGAATGTACAAGGCTCACCCCTGTCTGGGAACCTGAACTGTAGTTGAAATGCAAAATGACATCCACTTTCCTTTCCGGTCTCATAAGGGGTGGGTAACTGGTAGCAAAGGCAAATGCAGTATCTATCAGGATGAGGTAGTCTGTTCCTGCTGTCAGGTGGTTGGGCTGAGAGTCAAGCTCACAGTCTAGAAAAAAAACCATTTTTTTTTCAGAGGAGATGCTTGATGCAAGAGAGGTGCTGAGGAAAGACAGTTGTTAACAAAAAGGGAATTCAGCTTTTCTTGGGTCTTAGACCTACCTATAGAGCTGATAGCTGCAGTTCAGTCATTTCTCAGTTCCTCATCTGACTTCCTCTTTTCACTATTTACTCTGCAATTTCTTTGGCTTTCCTCTAATTAAGAAGGATTAACTTGGGGCTCAGGAGAACAGAGTTAATTCCATCCCCTGGTTTTGTGTGTGATTCTGATTAGGTCAGGATTTTTTTGCTTTTTCTTTTAATTTGTAAAAAATTAAAGTGGCACCTCACTGTCTCAACATGCTGAAGGTTAAAGACGATTGGTGCCTTGCACACTACGAGAACAGGGGCACAGCTACTAAGGTACATGGAAGATCTAGTACCAGACTGAACACAAATTCCCAAACTGGGTAACAGGGAATACTGTTACAGAGGTTATATCTTACTTACAAGTAAAAAGGTAACATGAAACAGGGCTCCCTCCCACATCCCTTGAGTATTGGCCGGGCAAGAGACAGCATATGATGGCACCAGTGCCATGCAACTAGCGTGCAGGCTGGCTGGCTGGTCCATCAGTAGACGTGTGCTGGTTGACTAATCAGGATCTTTTTCATCTATCAGTTGCCAGACTTCATGAAATTTTTAAGAACTTAGTTTTGAAGCCTCACCTGCTACATAATTTCAGCTTTCAGTGACAAAGAGTTTCAAATATTATCGGAGGATGGGAACAGAACAAAAAGGCAGTCGGCTTGATAATCTCTTAAGCATTGTTTCTTTTTCACAAGGATGGTTGAAAATACGACTAAAAGCAGGGTGCTATTGCCATACCTTTCCATTTGGAAAACTCGCTCTCTAGGTAGTTGTTGTTCATCTGGAAGCCCTTCAGGAAGTTATGGATTTCTGAAGCTGCTGGACGTAACGTGGCGACATCTCGGAAAATGTCTGAAAAGCTGTCGGTGGGACAAACCACTCGAGTATCCAGCTCATTTGGTCTTGTAGGGAATAGGGTTTCGTCATCTGCAGAAGAACAAATAACAGTTCTCATATGTCGTTTCATTGTTGATGTCAATCTGTTCAATCATCATTTGTTTTAACATGTTTGGCAAAACTTGGACTTCTTTTTTTATTTTTAGGATCTCCACAAATCTCGCAGTTTTGCAGGTAACCTTTGAAAAATCCATTTCTTTTTCTCACTCCACAGTGGTAAAGGCCTTGTTTGTACTGCAAAAGAGTCCGTCTCACCTACTATAAATTTCTTTGCTTTTCTATGATTTTATCCACTACAATATCCTGCGCTTACCCTGTCTTCCTTTGCTACTCCATGTTACAGTTTCTCTCTCAGCCACACACATAAAAAGCCACACAATAACAATGTCTCAGCCACACAAACATAATTAATGTTCCTCACTAGCAAATGCAAGCTCCTTGTTTTAACAACCGGAAACTACACCCTATAAGTGCAAGAAGATAAAATAAATCACTCTTTTCCCTACATTTCTCTTCCTTCTCATCTTTTTTCTCTGTAGTATGTCTGTCTTTTGTATTTCTCCTCGAAATCCCACCCTGCAGATCTTTCTTAATTTGGTAGCATGTTTTGCAAATCTCATCCTTATGACTAGTTTGGAATGACTTCTAATAGTACTGAAGTTTGTATCCATGTTTTGTAGACCCCAGAGATGCAAGGATGGTGTTTGCTCTTGTTTCTGTGAAGCCTCATGCCATACTCCAACTTCCAAGAGAGGAACTAGAAGACTGTGGATTGCTAGGGGAGGCTTCCAGCTTCTCCTACTCTGCAGGGGTGTTCTTCTCCAGTTTTACCCTTGTGCCCTGAAAATAGTTCATATGAGGGCCATTCTCTCTTTTTTCTCCTGTGACAGATCCCATGGATTCTTTTCTCACACAACTCAAATGATTGCCATCCTGTGATACACAGCATGAATTTCCTCCTAGGTTCCATGTGGATTACAGGAATCCCTGAAGAGGGAAATCCAAAATGGCTTTGAAAAATTTGGTGGGAGGATAGCAGCACAGAGGGTTAAAAAAAAAAAGAGAGAGAGAGAGAGAGAAAATAACATAATGGCATAAGAATAACCCACCTATGTCAGTAATTTTGTCTCGGGTCCATTTGTGCCAGAAGTCTTCTGAATGAACAGATATATACCAAGCATCCATAAGATTCAAGGAAAATACACTGCTCCAGATCCCTGTGGCATGGGATATATATGACAGAAAGTAAACCAGTAGAGATCTGGAAGCATTTTCATTCACAATGACTTTCAGTACCTTTTGCATTCTCTAGCAAACTTTATTCATTATGTTTTCTTAGTGTACAAATAAAAGGGACTGTCTTTATAAATCAGTATATGAATCCATAATGTACATAAAGAATCTAATTTATTGACATTTAGTAAGAGGGCTGGTAGCATTTCCAGTGTATCTGCTAACACACTCATTTTTGTTATGTGGCAAATAACATTTTGTCAAGTTCATTTTAATACTTTCCACCTGTCCTCAACATTTGTTATTCCCCAAGTTCCCAGGATTTGTAATTCTAAAGGTTTTATTTATTTCTGGCGCAATCCTGTTACAGGTATGTAGTTATCATGCAGGACTGTCAACCACAAAACATTCAAGATTCATACACTAATATCCCCTAGAATGAGGAAGCTGACTTAAAAGTTTTGAAAATAGAAAGTGTAAATGTATGAGTCTTTTGATTTGCCTTCTTATTTTTTAGGGTTTAGGGCATATGTGGGTTAAATTTTCAAGTTCCTCTACTAGCAGATGTAGCAAAGTTGAGGGCAGTCCAGACTGCCACCAATCTGCAGCCTTTCAGGTTGATAAAACACCATTACCTGGTATGGTTAAATGTGCCAGGTGCGCAACCGTGCCTTCCTGAACCCTCCAAACTGCAGAACTAACCCTGGCGCTCTTGGGAGGAACAGAGTGATGGATAGAAAAGGCTGCACCAGAGCAGCCTGGTGATCGCCTGACCCAGCAATGCCAGCCTGCAGTCAGAGGGAAGGGCTTGGCCATGCAGGAAAGAGCTGCAAGACCTACATAGCCAGTCCCTGCTCTGTTCAGGGGCTGGGGTGCAAAGGAATTTGCTGTAAACCTGTCAAATAACTGTGTCACTGGAGTAAGTAACACTGTCTGAATGAGGGGATGCTGGTCATTGGCAGGGAACAGGGGCAGAAATGTCCCAGCATCGCTCTAGAGAAAGGCGGAAGAAAGTGCCAAGGTGGGAGGTGTAGGAAGGGGTCTGGTGACCTGCTGGCAGTAATGACCACAGAGACCTGGATACCTTGTTCGACATTGCAGCCAGGGACAGAGAGATTCTGATTTGCTTTCTTACACCTCACCGCTAGCTGTAGTGAAATCTTCACACAAGCAAAAAGTCTTAACTTCTCAAAAAAACCCTGAAACTTCCTTTATGCAATTGGTGGAAGTAGGAAGAACAATGAGGCAAGAGATTGCTTTTGTGAAGGGAAAAAATATTTCCTTACTGCTTTTACTGTTTTTATGCAAGAGGGAAAAAAGGTAAATATTATGACCTATTTGCACTCTGAAATGGAAGCGTTATCCTGGAGGATTAATCAGGGTTAGCTGCAGCAGGAACATTGTAGATAAAAGGCTGTATTTTAGAGACTCGGGTTGCAGAAGAGACTGATGCTTTAACTTAGCGGCAATGTTACACAACTTTTGTTGCTGACAAAGACATATAAGTATTGCGAGGGCCTCATGTCAGTAAGCATAACTACCTATGAAATTAAATAAATCTGTCCAGCTGAATAAAATTGCAGAGAAAATAAAAAATCCTGCAGAGAGTGACCTGTTATCAGTTCTAATATTTTACCATAGACTGCTCCTGGCAGACAAAAATAATATACTAACTGCTTCATTTCAGAAGAGGGGTTTGTGCAGAAGCAGTTTATATTATATTACATTACATTTCCCCAGAGCAACAAATCACCTTCCAAAAAGCAGATTCTGGATTCTGGGATTTTCTTCATCAGGCGACCCATGAAGAACTCACTACCAAAATCTTCTGCACAAATGAAGGCCCCGTATTTCGGGAATCCTACCTCATAAGGGGTGAATTCCACCCATTCTGAAAGAAAAAGCACAAGAGAGACTGATTACAGCAGCAGAGGCACAAATCAGTTGAATAAAACATACGATATTGGCCAGGTTAAGGCAGACTGGTTTCTAACACACTTTGCAAGCAGACATTTATTCACTGTACATTTCACAGTGGTGAACATGAAGAATGAATTGTCCTCTTACATCTAAATTTCTCTCCAAACTTCAGATTTCTGAAGCTTTCTACAGAAATGCAGAGCAGGTAATCTCGTGATAATGTCCTCCAGCATCCTACTTTTGATCCCGAATACAGCTGAATACACTAAGGCCTTCAAAAATTTAACTATTAAATTTCTACTCTTAGGTGGATTGGCCTTTTAGAGTATCTGTGCATTGAACTGATTTCTTTACCTAATCCTAAATTGACCCCTATTGGGATTAAATGTTAAATGCAATTCTGGAGTATTATTACCTCTAAAATCCTGGTCGCTGATTTTATCCTTCACATTGAGAGAGAGGTAGATGGGCATGGGATTTTGACCCTGGTTTAGTGCCTGCTGCTGATCTGTGAGTTTATAGGACTCCTCCTGTTTCGAAGAAGGACAGTAGCTGAGGATGGTTAGATGACACAAAGAACCTCCCACTTCATCTAAGCCTGGGCTCTGACAACACAGCGCATACCAGACTCCAACCAGGATGTTCCCCACTGGTTTAGTTCAGAAAGGTGCTGTCATCCCTACTTCTGACCCTCCCCTGCCTCAGCACTTCAGCACACAAATAGTCCTAAATTAAGTTCATATGGGGAAGAAAATATGAGATTTCAATGGTGGGAAGAAAATGTTATTGACATCATTTGTTTCATAAAAATGCCTGGAAATATTTGAAAAGCACTCTTGGCAGGAAGTATTTCATTCAGAAAGAGTAACCCCTTCCCTGCCTGCCCAGAAAATCATCTTTTCCTCAGGCCTGTAACAGAGCCAAGGCTCAGACAGCGTTAATGATCAGCGAGCTTTGACCCTTACTGCTTCTGCTGCAGAGCACCTCGCATACTCAGGCAGGGTAGAAAGGGCAGGATGGTTTGGAGCAGTACTAAGGTTTGCTGAGTTCAGATCCTCCTTGAAGGGGAGCTGCAGGTGCTCCTCCTCACCAGGGCAGCCCTTGGAAGGACAGCCGTGCCACCAGGCTTCCCTTGGGCTGTGCGGTCAGGGGTCAGGTCTGTGGCACTGCAAGGACACCCACAGCTCCCTGCTGAGCCCACCCCAAGGGAATCTCTTCCACTGTGCTGCGCTCAGGCAGTAGAAACTGGGATGTCCATGGGGTTAATCATATTACAGGGGCTGTGTTTTCTCTTTCTTAAGTATAAATGGCCTATTGGAAAGGAAATACTCACGAATACTAAAATAGAGCCTGAACATTGCCTTTTGGTGCAAATGTTTACAGGGTGACGTAATCCTGTAACAACTCAGAGATACTGTCTTTGGGTTTGTGATTTTTCTTTGCCTTGTCACACTGTGCAGCAGTTTTAAAAGAACAGCAGGATTTTCATTTCAATATTTACATGCAAATTCGTTTTGAAGTTGTTCATACTATAAGTTTCCCATTATTTCTCTTTATTCCCACCCTTTCTGCACCAGGTACGATGCTAAGATCTGCATAATACAGCCAATAAACACAAATAACTATACTGCCAAGGCACATGCTTTAGGCATCTATCTGAAAAAACAAACAAACAAGCAAGCAAGCAAAAAACTCCTTTTCCATAAGGATGGTCAAACACTGGCATATGTTGCCCAGAGAAGTTGTGGAGTCTTCACCTGTGGAGATATTCAAAAGCCCATGGTTCAGGGCAGCCGGCTCTAGCTTATGCTGCTTGAGCAGGGCTGTTGGACAAGACAACCTCCAGAGGTCCCTTCCAGTCTCAACTATTTTTTGATTTACTGTCTGCCCTGTCTGCTATATTCACTAAATACTGAAATCTGAGGAGAAGGATGATGCTATTGTACCTTTTCATGTAACATGGTTTCAATGATGAGTCCCCATAGATCCGTGAAACATATTTGATGTCCTTCCTGTTTCCTCTGGCACAACTCTTTCAAGTAGTATTTCAGGCGATCAGGGGCAAAACAAGTAAAGAACTTATTTTTGAGCACATGCTTCCGGACATCTTTGAGTGTTTCCTTAAGATCCTTTTGGGACCAGTCAGGATCTTCATACAAGTTTGACATGGTCCTAAAAAAAAAAAACCAAAACCCAACAAAAACCCAGAAGGAAAAGTGTGAGTTCTGAAGCAGAGCTTTGGGAAGTTACGGAGGTTTGTGTATCATGCTTTGAGTCACATGAAAAAGCACATATGTGTGTGGTACCATCCGTGTATTTAATCAGGACTGAATTAATTCCAAATGTGGGGAAATACCCACTGAAGTAAACAAGAAAAAGCCACAGCAGGAAAGAAAGCCCTTTCTTGATAGTAAAGATGATACAATTCTTCAGATCACTTCTTGACATCACATATAGAAAATTCCTATGAAGGCTGCTTATGTTGGTCTTACCATGTTGTGCCGGATAAACCAGTGATATATGAGACACAGTCCAAGACATTCAGCTCCTGCACACTGAGAAGGTGAGCATACATGGCTGTCAGAGCTCTGGTTCCACCACCTGTTGTCATGATTGCCACCACAGGTACCTGTTCAATCCCAAAATGCATGCATTTAGTGACATGGTCTGAAAAGGGAGAGAGACATCTTTGACTAGATAAGAGAAAGTTACAGTACTGATAAACAATAATAAAGATCCTGCATGCCACCGGTCTGCAAGGAGAAGAAAAACCTGAATTAATAACGGGGCATAGAAGAAGTGAGGAATACTTCATGTTTCCTCTGCCAAGCAGCTGTGCATTAGGACATGAAAATCCATCATCTCAAACATCACATTTTCAGTGCTCTGTTGCAAAACCAATAACACAGACAAGCAAAAAGCTAGAGGGAATGGTACCTCCTGCCATCTGAACCAGATTTTTACCAGATGCAACAGACCAGAAAATATAGGTGCTGTCTCACAGTTTCCCGGTGAGTAGCAATTACCTCTCTGTTACTGAAATTTGCTAAAGCCAGTTTCTACTATTGTATAGTTATTTCACAGGCCATAGTAGATGTGTCATGACTGGTGGGTTTAAGAGCACAGACCAGTTCATGACCTCTGAGACCAGAGGCTGGTGACACCATCCCCTTTTACAGTTGCTAGAGGGAAAGAGAAACCATGCTCACTCCACCTACCAGATATATACATACAATACTAGGTATGCAAGTTAGCTGCAATTACTTCTGTCTGTGATGACAGAGAAATTCAGGGTCTGGTAGTCTTAGAGGAAGGATTAATCTGTAAATATGAATTGGCTCTGTTAACAGTAAAGATAGCTACCATGCATTGGGGTGAATTAATCTCTTGTGTAAATCAGGAGACTCTAGGGAGATTTTTCTGCTGGGAAGTATGGCTGCCTCTACATCTGAGGGGAAGGAAATGGCCCACAGCTTAGTGCTGGCATTTAAAGGCAAGGTCTTGTGTGTGAAAAGTCTAGCTGTGCAAAAAACCTGCTGAGCTCAGTTTAGGGCAAACTGAGGAAAATTTGTCATCTCTGCATCTGAGTTAAGGCTTCACACTGCAGTTGTGGAAGTATAATTAAAAAAGAGAAACCTGATTTTTCCCTGCCTTAGACCCTCTGGTATCGTTCCCATTTGCCAAGCAAGCACACGCTCTAGCTGCAGAAGATGATGAAGTCAGACTGGCAGCGTGCTGTGCTCACACAATGGGAGCCTCAATGCCAGCACAAAAGGCACAGCAAAATAAAGTCCAGTCTCAACTGTGAGGGAAAGAAGTGCTGAATCGATGGTTTAGGTCTGGTTGAGATGACTGTGAGGCCTAAAAGAGGCTTTGGCTTTGGTGCTGAGAGCACCTAGTCCTTCTCTGCATTATTGTGTCAACTGCTGCTCAACACAAAGCTACATCCTGTAGCAACAGGGCTACAGGCTTTTTATTAATGTTTCCTGTGATTACCCATTTCTTCCCTAGGTTAGAGAAAAGAAGTTAGCCATAGCCTGTGCATGAAACTTTACACTCTTTCCAGGAAAATGGGAGTTGAACACAAATTTTGACACTCAGCTGTGGAGAAAATAGACAATAATTATGTCTCAGATACCTCATCATCCTGCAAGTCCTCCTCCAGCTGGAGAATGTCCTTCAGAGCGGCTGCAACCACCTTCTTCCTCTTGTGAATGAAATCCTGTTCCTGGGCACACAGGTCAAAGCCCAGGCGTATGTCTAGGTCGTCCTGGCTGGAACAGAAGATCAGGTATCTCACATCACGTTTATAGTCTAATTCAGAATTTTAACTGCTTCTGCTTCATAAATAGACATGCCTTCACCATCAGGTCTATATAAAGCAAAGCAGGAAGAGATGAAGTGTTTTAGCTTGCTCCTGGAGAACAACAGTACATCTTCCTTTAGACTAAGAGGTTTTGGGGTTTTTTTTTTCTCCTTGCCGAAAATGCCTGAAATTAAACATAGCTACAAGTAACAGAATTGTTCCCTTTGAAACATAAACCCAACAGCCTGCAGAGGGCGGTGTTTTAAAGGTGGCTTTTTAGAAGTCGCGCAAACTTCCACTGATACCTGTGAACCGTGGACTGAAGTTGTGGACTTTTGTGATCGGATGGTTTTTTTGGGGGGGGGGGGGGGGGGGCGTGGATATTTT